CACACACACATACACACACACGCAAAAGCAAACACAACCATTCAGATACTCCGCGAACATCTTCCATCATAAACTCGCTGGTTTTGAGAAATCGCGAAAAATTAGTGACACAAACATTGCGCAGTTGCCAATACGTGGCAAACAGACGAACCATACAACACGTTGACATGGTGGTTAGCTTTGTTCGGTGCCGGCTCGCTTATGCACTACTGCGTTCTGCAATCGCTAGCTTGCGTGGACATTGACAGCGGGTACTGTCTTTGGATGCCAGTTCAAGTTCAGCGGTGTTGGCTGTGTCTACAGTCAACTTCTCTAAGGGGTCGTCCGTAATTATCGAAAAATTAAAAAATCCGCCCTCGTGCAAAATTGTCTCTGACCCACCCACCCAACCCCATTTTTTCCATTAATTTTTTGATTTTTACCGATGCCCAGCTCGAAAATGAGAACTCCTGATCTCATGTTCACTGATTGCATCTATGTCAAGTACTAGTAGCAAGGTACAGTGAGTAGTAGGTCTACCGACGGCCATGCACGTCCTACAACTACATGAAGAGTCATGTATAATTATCATACTGGTGTTTGCGACAATCGATCCTACACTATGTCTACAGTACACACACAGTCAGTGCAACAAGTGTGTCATAGGAAAGTTACTGAAGTAAAAATAAATATAAATAAAAAAGGACGAAAAATCGAAAAATTAAATTCCGCCAGCGCTCTTGCCCTTTTTGCCTGAGGACGGATTTTTTAATTTTTCGAAAAATACGGACGACCCCTAATAACGACTGCAGATATAACGACAATTCGCGAATAACGACAGAATTTCCATGCCCAGAGCAAAGTCCCATCTAACTGTAATACATATAATGAGACTTCGGTTAGGACACTTCGCGAATAAGGACACTTATCTGATGCCCCGCCGAGTGTCGTTATACGCAAAGTTGACTGTAGCTGTCATGTTCACTACAACTGCCTTGAATGTCAGTTAGATCCTTGGTGGGTTTGCATTGTTCTTGCTCTTTACCAGTATTTGTCTTGCTCTTTATCGGCATTTTTCTCTGTTGGTTGTATCTCGTTTTGATGTGTCTAATGTGTACGGTTACGCCGTACTGTAAGTCAACAAATACTCAGCTCATAATTATTTATTTTCGGCCTGATCATATTTGGCCGAAAATTTGTTGCAGCCGAAATTTTTGTTTTGCAAGGTTCAATGTGACAGTGTATACAGGGCGAAAATTTGCTGCAGCCAAAATGTATTTTAGCCCTGGGAGGCCGAAATTAGAATGGGTCGAAAATTTGTCGACTTACAGTACTCTGAATCCTACTGTCATGCTGAGGCATGATGATGGTGATAATCGGTACTGCTTAGTGGACAAACTAGTTGTTGTTTGCTGTCCACTTCGCAGCTGCTCGCGTTCAGTTGCGCCATTCGACTGCTGCCGTGGACTCCTTGGAGCAACTTTATGGATCACATTCGGCACAGTATTGCGTTTCTAATATGTCCTTTGGATTGGGCAGAGCCCGCGGATCCCTGGGCTGTGGCCTATGACCTTCACCGACCACCGTAATCTGAGCGCCGTCTGATCCGTATTGCCTCACAGTCTTGTCAGCAACCCTCAACACATTCTCAACTCCCTCGAAACAATATCTTCTCTCACTATACTTAACCCTTTATGTACGAAAAAAATGTACATAGACTGAATTTGATCTCGACTCAACTCGAATTCCATAATTCTCCGGGTCATAACTTTAGTCTCCTTTTGACGATTTTTTCAATCTTGGGCTTCTTGGAAAGCTCGTAGCAAGAAGAACACATTGAGCCACCGCTTGCCACCATGAAAGTCAAAACGCCAGCGCTACAGTCCAGCGTATTAGCTGCAACGCCAATACAGTCAGACCTCGCTTATCCGGTCCTCGTTTATCCGGATGCCTCGCCATCCGGAAGAAAATCGCTGGTTACCGATGTGCAGCATATGTTATGCATACAACATAACCGGACCTCGCGATCCGCATACCGGTGCATGATTTTGTGTACAGACTGGTTAAAATGTGTACAAAAATCTTCGTCGTATCCGGTTGCATGTGGCTTGCAGAAGCTAGAATCAGGGAGTTGTACAGGCAAATGAGGTACTTGACCTGCTGGGTGCATGTGGACAGCACTCAGTTGCATGCACTTGTCATTTTTCTCGCTTGTTTTACATACTGTGCACGCTAGTTGTACTGCATAGGACCCGTCTACATGTATGTACAATGCCATTGCTTTTGACATGCCACATGCATATACAGCATGTGTGTTCAGTTATCCGGTTCCCTCGCCTATCCGGATATTTTTGTGGAAAACAGATGTGTGCGGTTAAGCGAGGTCTGACTGTATTCCGACAGAAGTCGTCTTGTATCAGCCATTTCGCTCTCCTTGCTCGTAACAACTAGCTGTTACTTAAAAAAATTCACGAGTCCGTTTCTACATCACTGCATGCCCAGAATGATGGGGAAATCCCTCATTCAAATCTGCGCAAGCGGCTATTGAGCGACATTTTCCGCGATTCGACTTTCGAGCTTCGTAACTCTGGAACCGCACATCGGAGCGCTTCAGCGATTGTTTCAGTGGACAGCTAGGAGTTTTCTCTTCGACCTACGTATTTTAGTTTTTTGGAAATAACCCAGGAATGACTGAGTTACGGTCGATTGAAATTTTGAAAAGTTTCGATCCCAGGGGATCGAAAGTTGTGCAGTCCGTACACAAAGGGTTAATCTGGGAACAGAACAGTTTAGTCCTTTGCGGACTCATCAGCGCAGCACGACCTGATAGCAATGAAAAAAATTCCCAAAGCCAGATTTAAACCAGGCCCGTGCGTACATGTACCTTGTCAGAGTGCTCAAACTGACAAGTCAGTGAGCTCTGCACAACGCAAACAGCAAAGGCATTACAGCACATGAGAGTGCACCTTCTCTCACTTTATCTATGCAACTCTGCTAGTGCGCCTCGTCAGGGCTTGAATGAGGGCAAAGGTTACTCAGGATGAGCGACACAGGTGCATACAGCGCCAGTTCCCATAAAATACCTATTACAATGCACCCACGGACTTACAGCACCAAGCTTGTTGGCCACCTCTGGAGGGGAAACCCCCACAAGCAGAGAGGAAACATACGTTCTGCACTTCTCCAACACCTATGACGAACACAGCGAATGAAAAGGCAAAGAGTGCAATGAAGTCAGTCGATGAGCCAAGGAAATGAGTTTAGGAAACTTCACTTCTCAACTCCTGGCCCGAAAATTTGGTGTAATGTTAAATTAGAATTTGAATCGCAGTGAAGAGACCATTTCGGAGTTTGGAGTTGAGAAGTGGAGTTTCCTAAATGTGCAAATGGCTGCGTTGGAGTTTGCAGACAATTAGAAAAGGAAATGAGTATTAATATTATTATAGGCTTTTCCGCGTTGGCATCGCCAAGCATGCCTGGCTAGCCTTCACACACTTCGCAGACACACACACAGAAGCCTGCTCTCCGTCTGTGCATTTCCATAGAAATAGGGCCGGCATTGATACGCGACATTTCGGTAGACATGCCACTCCATCTGTAATTCTATGCAAAATTGTTGCGATATCCGATACTACCTTTCTATGCAAACCTTTCTATGGAATTATCCCATGTCCACAGTACAAACATATGCACCATTCTAATGGCTGCCTGGTTCATTTGTTACTTGTTTTCACTCCCGATGAGGTGTGTTCACAATACCACATAGTCGTTCCATTCGCTCGCCACCTCGCAGATACGTTCTGCTCTCCACGCAACGTAGTCGTAAACATGTTTCAAAAAATTAAAAATTAGAGCAAAATAAATACAGCGCCGTACCTCATCCTGCTCGTCAGCCACGTCGATTGAACCCAAGCTCAGCATGGAGCTGCGTTGGCTTCCACGATCTTCTGCACCAGGACCTCTGCTACCAACAGCAGGCGCCGCCATGGTTCGTTCTGCCTCACTGTCTCACAAGTCAACGTGGATGACGAACATGCATCACAGCAAACGAAAACCCAAAGCAACTACAATGTACGACTACACGTCTGATGGCAGTGCTAGTGCAGAACATGTAAGTGTACCCCCAGTTGATCAGCGCTCAGTTTATGAAGGAGCAACACCACAACACTTGCTAAATTTCAAAGCTACACTGCTGTGTACTTGTAGAACCTGAATGGTCCTCTAATTTTTGGACCTCTGATCTTGCACCCTGACAAGAAGAACAAATTTAGCAGATGCACCGGTACATGTGCTTGACAGAGAGTATTGCACTAGTAGCGAAGGTAGAAACTAGATCTTTCTCACAAGCTAAGTTCTCTTCTGCTCTGGCTTCTTTGATTTCAATCTTTCACTTTTCAGCTTTTGTTTCATTTTGGCAGTTTTGCCTTTTAATTTTGTGCATTATTTTGCGCAAACAGCTGATTACATAATGTCATTCAAAACTGTCTACGTAGACCCACGTTACGTCAGTACACGTCATGCCTGTTCGATATTTTGTGCCGATCATGGTGCCGGTACGGATGCTCTACGGGGAAATAATTCCGGAAGTCAACAAGCCAACGCGTGCAACAGTCACTTTTACAAACCCTGATGTAGACAGACAGACTGACTACAGTACAGTCAGTACAGACTGCAGTTAGTAGAGTGACATGATCATGATGATGGTCACCCAGGACTGGCAGGAGTGTCATCAGGACTTCCAGGACAGCCCTATGATCATGCATGAGCTGACCATAATTTTCAAACAAAAAGTCTCAGACATCTAAAATCCTTGTCAATTATATGGTGGGCTGACCACAATCTTGAAGTTGTCCCCATCTCAGATGCATCTGACCAGGCAGCATGGTGATTTATGATTTTCAGGAATTAGCAAGGGGAAGTCTGAAGAAAAGACTCGACTGTTTCCACGTGGCCCGGAGCCAGGTACCTTCCCTTGCTGCAAGAGGCCGAAGCATGTGGCACAGTCTCGCCAGAGCCGGAGAAGAGAGATTCAACAGGCATCTTCGAAAGATTGCCGTTAGTTACTAAACCGCCCAATGGTTGATCAAGGTAGTATGAAGGTACTTGTAATAGTTTTAAACAATACACTATCTGACAGGCAAACCTGACTGCAATCAGCCCACTCTCTATGAGAAGTGCATCCAACAACCAAACTAGCTGGCATACATACATGCACGGAAACATGCACGCCTTTTGGGTGACAAACACACCCACCCACACACACAGGCACGCGCACCCCCACACACACGCGCGCGCACACACACATGCATGCGCACACCCCCCACCCACACCCACATCACCGTGCGCACATTACAAAGGAGATCCATTTGCAAAATAATGAAATCGCGGGTGAAGGTCCAGTATAGGTGAATTTTTAAAAGCAGCAACGTCTTGAAATGAAATCATACCGGCACATTTACAATATTCAATCATTAAGATCAAATGGAAAATACCTGTGCAAGAAGCCTGGAAAAACACACAGCATAGCGTAATTGCTACTCTGTCTCTGCAGCATTGGCAGCAATTGATTCAAGCAGGAACCCGGGAGAGGGTTTCTAAGAACTTTCTCCCCCCTCCCCCAAACAAAACATGAAAATTGCGAAAATTATTCTGACATGATCACTGTGAGTGTAAATTTAATTAAATATGCTGAGAGTAATAAACATGTGCTGCTGCTGCTGCTGCTGCCGCTGCTGTTGTTGCTGCCGTGGGTGTGCCCCTATTTGGAGAGCGGGAGGGCGTTCGGTGCAGCGGGCTTGCGATTACCGTAGTCCGGTGCGGGAGGGTTGGGCTTTCCACCGTCCGCACTTGTAGCAGCCACACCACCCGTGGGGCTGGCTGCTGAACCGGGTAAACCAGGGGGACGAGACGCACTTGAGGGTCTGCACAAACGGCAAAGAAAAACACAAGCATCACTCTGGGACTGTAGCATCAAATACAGGTTCAGTTTCAGCAACACCATCAAGGTTGGTCTTAGCTGGTAAGATGTATGCTCCATCAAAACATTTCCAAAACATTATTAGAGAGGTTTGCAGAGCAAAACTTCGCATGGAGTTTGCGCCTGGGCTTGCAAAATGCGAATGTTTATGCAAAGTCTGTGTTCTGCATGATTTCCGCTCCAAGGAAGCACGTGCGCACATGCGCTTGTTTGAAAAATGGTCTCGATCAGATCAAAGATTTTTATTGCAAGTGGCGGCACCCTGAGACGAGTGCTTTTTAACTACAAACTATTGAACATTGACCTATTTAAGTATTTATTCTCAAAAGCAAGATAATTGCATGTGTTCTGAACGGACTGTATCTGGCAGTGGAGAGAGAGAGAGAGAGAGAGAGAGAGAGAGAGAGAGAGAGAGAGAGAGAGAGAGAGAGAGAGAGAGAGAGAGAGAGAGAGAGAGAGAGAGAGAGAGAGAGAGAGAGAGACAGACAGACAGACAGACAGACAGACAAACAGACAGACAGACTAACAGAGCATACATTTACCTCGTGACTGGAACCTTCTCAACGTAGTTGATAGGAAACCATCCACACCTGCATAGAGAGTGTTTGAGTCAAGCACAGAAGGAGAGATGAGACACAGCAGTGTTCATGGTTAGTACTGCAAACACAGTCGGTACCTACCAAGGCTATACAGTCAGACCTCGCTTATCCGGTCCTCTTTTATCCGTATCCCTCGCCATCTGGAAGAAAATCGTTGGCTATCGATTTACAGCATAGGTCATGCATACATACAGTATGTGCGTTTGATTATCCGGATTCCTCGCCAGCCGGAAGAAAATCGTTGGCTATCGATTTACAGCATAGGTCATGCATACAGTAGGTGCGTTTGATTACCCGGTTCCCTCGCCTATCCGGATTTGTTGTGGAAACGGATGTGTGCAAAGCCTGACTGTACTATGTTGATGTGCAATAAGAGTATATTAGGGGCTATACCGCATTATCGATAATTTTCAGGGAACGAAAAAAGTTTAGCTATGACTTTCCTCCACCCACCCACCCCGGAACAAAAGGTTATTGACTTGACAGCTAGAATACATTGATGCTTCAGCTATCCATATATTCAAAATGAAAACTCTCCTCCACCCACCTACAAATGAACGAAACGTTTTCGATTTGAGTACACTTGAAATAGAAGATTGATACAAGAATGCAATTATGGATAGCCCCTTGTCGTCAGGATAGTCAACTACATCTGTGCTATTCGAGGAATTTGTCGGAAGAATCGGGTAAGAAGGAAAGAATAGGAGTGTGTTTGTAACAGAAGGGTGCAGTAACTCGAACAGGAGAGAGCAAGAAACAGAGATCAGAGGAGAGAGTGAGAGATATCACAGGAGAGTAAGAAAGAGAGACAGACAGACAAACATACATACACACAGAGAGATGAAAAGACGGACATGCGCTACTCACTTTGCAGTTCGGATGTTCTCTCCGTATTGCCAGTCCTCCTTCTTGTCACCAATACCCTCCACAATATCACCCTCAATGAAAGATAACTGAGATGGACCTGTGGACTGCAGACTGAAGAGGGCTTTGAACCGAGGTCCTGCTCCACTACGTCGCTTGGGCTTGCCGTTCTCCTCCTTCGGTTTCTCCGGGTCAGAAGGTCCCGGTGGGCCAGTAGTGGGAGCCTGTGGATCTGGCTTTCCCTGGTCCCCAGCCTTGCGGCTATCTTGATCGCTCTTTAGATTACTGGAGGATCTGCAGCAGATACGAAGATAGAAGAAAATGGCACAACAGTTGAATTGTCCAACGACATGATCTAGTACAAGCATTGAGCAGGGGAAAGAGTCTGAGTTGTGCAACATACCGGTAAGTTCTACTCCATGGTCAGCCTCCAGTAACAGCAGCATGATCAGCAATGCAAGTAGCAGCTGGTGCCAGCAGCAGCAGAAACAGCAGCAGAAGCAGAAGCAGCATCATATTATGCTTTTTAGGAACACTTTGGGCTAAAACTAAAGTGTCATAACTAGGGGTGAAACGATAAGTTCGAATATTCGAGTATTCGTTCGAAAATGTCAAACGAGCGAGTATTCGAAATTTTGCACTCGATCGTTTTTTTAAATATTTTTTATTATTATTATTTTTTTTTAGTATTGGCATTGCATTTTTCAAAAACTTGTGTTTTTGTGCAAGTAACGTTCTGAGATATGAAAGTACTGATGAAAATCGTTACTTTACACTCTGTACAAGACATTGGCGACTTTTCTTCTATGTTCACAGATAAATTTCTTCCGAATTGGTCGAGAACTCGCAAATCTAGTGCTTTTGAATTTTGATAAAATACTCGAAATAATCGGATACTCGATCGAATATTATGAACGAGTGATCGATTGGTCAAAATAGATACTCGTTTCACCCCTAGTCATAACCTGCAGTCTCCTGTTCATGGAATCGGATTGTCTTGATCCGAGAATGCTCAGATGCAGCATTCACAGGATATCCACTAGTGTATGTGCTCCATGTCTGTACATGTGCTTCGAGCACGTGACGTCGCGTGACGTCATCACGGCATTCCATAAGACGGCATGCAAGTATACAAACTCCGCACATGCAAATGTAATGCAAAAGCAGAAACTACTTCGAAGTATTAGAAGCAATTCCAGAAGCATAAGTACCTCTCTCTGTTCCTGTCTTTCTGTCGTGATGAGGAAGGTGGTGGTGACGGTGAGCGATTATCATCGTCGCTGTAATCATATCGCCTTCGTGATCTTCCGCTGTCTTTGTATTCCCTGCTGCTGTTTAACGAGGGGCCGTCACGACTGTCCTTACGAGGCCGGCGGTGACGAGAGTCCAGCTCGGGCGACGGAGAGCGGCTCTGCCTGCGACGACGCAGCGGAGGCGGGGACGGCGACGGCGACTTGTCGCCATAGCGACCTCCCCCACCGCCACCTCCGCCGGTGCCTCGTCTGTGCGACCGGTGGTCGCCGACGTCGTCGTCACGGTGACGATCGCGATCTCTGCCTCGGTGATGGCTGCTGCTGTCATGACGATGGCCTGACCCTCCCAGCGAATCATCACTGGTATACTCTTCATACCTGCAGGGGTAGATAGGTCATTGGCAACACAAATAATGTCATGAGTCAGTACAGTATTATCAAGAGTACATAACCCCCCAGAGTGTGCAACGCCTGATCCAGCTCTGCATAGGGTATTGGTCGAGCGGAATCGGATCTTTGCGTCATAATACCGTACACATCTGAGGGGAACCCGGGGAGTCGCGGGTACTCTTGGATCAAAAACAATGGTGCCCTGCCTCGAGACCGGCCTTGCGCTGGTGTGAAGTGTACGCATGACATCAGAAGATCCGATTCCGCTCGACCAAGACCCCACACAGAGCTGGATCGGCGTTGCACACTCTGGGAGGTTATGTACTCTTGGTATTATGCAGAACGCATCGAATCATCACTGGTATACTCTTCATACCTGCAGTGGTTTGGAGGATGAAAAAGTGTTTGTACTCCGAGTTTCACGCACTGAGCGATTACCAGAAAATCATGCGCGGCCTTTCGGGGTTGAGCACTCTATTGGACAGCCTGGAACCTCGGTTTCATCTGCGGTGGTAGAAAGGTCGTCGGGGGCACAAAGAACAGAGATGTTCTGCTCTACGTGAAATGTATTTGAAGTACCGAAATCACGTAGAGAACAGGTGTATGTTAGAGTCTACAGCTTCGCGTGTTTTGGGTTCAGATTGCAGCGTGGAGATGAGCTTCTCTACGTTGCGACAAAGTGCGTACGGATCTGGTGTGTACCATTCAAATTAACGGAAAAAACTGCCCATTTTTCAACAGAAATTCCCAGTACACATGATGATGCATTATTCCGGCCGCCTCCACTACCTTCATATAGATGGCTTCATGTCTTTGTCATGGGACCAACTTTGTACAGAAAGTGGCCACGGCCCGTGGACAGTGGAACCAACATGGCCGGCATCGTGTGACCCATAGATGCTGGGGTTGACAGAAGTTGGAACCAACATGATCGCCCTGCATGGTCATGTGACAGGTGTGTAAAAGCTTTATACCACTATACCATCCATCCATGCCCTTGCTTACATAGTGCACATGGGGACAAGCAAGAGAGGGAGAGCACATGTACATGTACAGAGAAATAGGACAGGGTGTGAAAGACAATTGAGTTTTTCAAGGAGCATTTTTTTAAATGCCGTAAAGTCTTGTATAAAAGCCGCGGCTTCTATGACTTTCTTGGTGAAATTCTGCAGGCTTCTATATGAGACAGGCTTCTATACAAGACAGGTATTTCCATGTATGTCAACACTAAAACCACGCTTGTGTGTGATTGATGGGCCCAAAATTGCGGCTTCTATTCAAGTGCGGCTTTTATACAAGACTTTACTGTACCTCTTTGGACTCTTGGCATTCCTCCGCTTATCACTGCGATCTTCGTGACGTCCAGAGTGCTTGCTGGGTGGAGGACTGTTGCTACGGCGATGGACCTTTCTATCATCATCTCTGGAATGCCTTCTGTCGTCATGGTAGCGATGATCGGCGGGTGACGGGGAGCGTTCTCCTTTCCGCTGTTTTCTTGCTCTTCCACCGCGATGGATATCTGGTTCTTCGTAGTCCGGCTCACCTGCGCCATTTAGACCAGGAATAACAACATCAGGAAGGACAGCAGGAACATTTGCAGCACCAGGAGCAGTAGCAGTAGCAGCAGCAGTAGCAACGGCAGTGGTGGCAGCAGCAGCAGCAGCAAAAGAGAAGCAGCAGTAGGAGTGACCGATAAATGTTTATACCAATTCCTATCTAGAGAAGTAGCGTGAATGAACAGCAATCTCAGAAAGCTTTGCTTGGACGGCTGATGGAGCACGACTGCACAAACTTGCAAACAATGTCGAATGGTGATAATTATTGCTCCTTCTTTGTAAATAAAAGGTGGTTTGTCAACTGACAACCGCTCTATTTAGTTGCAATTCACTCTTGCTTAAGCTTGGCGCATGCGCTGGATGAAAATTCTTTTATTATTGATGTCGAACAAATTATTGACATTTCAGGTCAGTCACCCATCGTCAGAACTAGTTAGAAGCGGCATATAAATCTTTGGCAAAGGCACACCTTCCTAGAAGTACTGTAAGACATGTAAAATATAACGAGGTAGTAAATCTAACATTTTAACTGGTGACTTTTCTTCATCGCGGACGACCACGTCTGAGATGGATCGACGTTGTCAAGAAAGACTTACAATGCATTAGTCTCTCGCTTCTGGATGCTGTGCAATCTGCTTCTGATAGAGCTGCTTGGCTCGAAATTGTCAACAGATGCGTTGACCTCATGCAATGAGTGATATGCGAACTGTCATTATTATTATTTTCTTCATTAAAAGTTCTGTTGAGGCTGTATTGTCTCATGCCTGTTTATGTGGGGCTGCACCTGAAGACTACGCGTCATTAACATATCTTCTTGTTAACCGATGAATCTTGGATGGTCGTTAAATTTGCGACTCGTCATAATAACATATGTCATATAGTTTAGAACACGGCAGCATATTGCGATAGTATTCTGCAGACGAGGCCTACCTGGACGGTGCTTTGTAGGCTTGCCTAGTGGTGCATGCGGCCACTGCAATGCATGCTGCTGTGCAACGAAGCCAACTTGACTAGTGGCCGTCGGCAGGAATGGTGGCGACGCCGTGTCATAACCTACACAACAGACAGCACAATTCAACAACGTGGTTATCAACATGTTCTCGCACACCACTCTCCCGGAGCCATCATTTTAACTAGTTACTTACTGTAGAACAAATCAGAACGAATGTATCCCCAGGCAGAACGTTGACATGGCATCGCCTTAAACAGGAGCACAGCATGCATAGCTTTCGGGTAAGGCAGACAGGTGACAGGAATGACAGGAAAATAGCAATCAAGCATGACTGCCAAATTTTGTTGAGTGCTTATCACAAAGCGGTTATCACCGAATTATCACATGAGAGTTTGAATGCAAACGTTCGGGATTTACCTGGAGGGAAGTTTCCAGTTGGCACAAAACCGCCCCAGTTCCCGCCGTGGATTTGCTGAGGAACACCCTGCCATTGCTGACCACTTGGTTGTGGCTGCTGCTGTTGGTTCGGATGCTGCTGATGCTGCTGTTGTGCACTCCACTGATTCTGCACTGGTGCTTGAAACTGCCCTTGTTGTGGGCCTTGTTGCGGCTGTGGCGGCTGTGCCGGTTGCTGAGGTTGTGGAGGTTGCTGGGCTTGTAGCTGATGCTGTTGTTGCGATTGGGACAATGGTGGATTGTGTGCATCAAAAGACATCGCTTGCTGTGGCATCTGCCTCTGCGGCGGTGCCTGCTGCGGCTGTTGCTGTTGTGGCTGCTGCTGCTGCTGTTGTGGTATTTGTGACTGTACGAACACCTGTTGCTGCTGTTGTGGCTGCTGCTGCTGCTGCTGCTGTTGCGGCTGCTGCTGTATTGGATATTGCTGCTGCTGCTGCTGCTGCTGCGGTGGAAACTCGTTTTGTCCGCTACCTG